CTTCTTTTTTACACATCTGAATGAAAAATTAGCTAACATATTCTCATGAAGAAAGTATACCGGTATGCATTTACCAGCGCCCTATCCTAACGATGTGATTCTGTGAAATAAAGTGATCATATGATTATCACCAATTATGCAGTTTGCGTTCCAGATACATCTTGTTGTGCCACTACATTAGGCTAAACTACCTTCGGGGGAAAGATGAAAACTATATTGATTTTGACAGTGACTCTACGGAAAATAAGAATTATATAATAAATAGTCACAAAATATCATTATTGCCAGGCTAAAGACATCTTTAAAAAACGTTACAGAAACCATCCTTGTATTTAACTCACAAAAACAATCCAATAAGTCAGAGTGCAGTGGTTTTCTCGTAACGTCTATTCACCATAGAGTCACCATCTTGGCAATGCTTGATGTGGGTACATGTATATGGTAAATCAAATCAAAGCTTAATGATTCATCTAGCAAACTCATATACACAAATTTAACATAAAGTAAAATATTGTGAAACATGACAAATTCAAACAAAGTTCATGTTATTGATTTAATTAGAAACAAACACAATATTGGAAATAATATCGCTAGTGATATTTGAACTACAGACCCTCAGTGTGATGTAGAGTAGACAGAGAGGATGAATTATTTGTGATTTACAGAAAGAAAAATATAGTATCATGGCTTGGATATACTTCCTTTTCCTCCCTCTTCTACTAAGTGATAATTATAATAAATTGAACCAATATGAACAGTCACAAGCATTACAAAATATTAGGGGGCTATTTACATGGTGATCCAACATTTGCACCAACGACAATTATTGCTTTAATTGGGCTTTATTTTATCAAAGGTATAAAGTTGGGGTTGTGTTCGGGGTAGGTAGGCTATACTGTTAGATACAAGACTGAAGTAAGGAATTCTGATCATGTATGACACTAGCCTTTAGACAAGGCCTAGTGTCTGATAATTATATTTGTATCTGACACCGAGCGACTAAAAAGAGACTAATCGCAAAAACCCGAGAAGAGGCGTAAATATTCACTCCTGAATGATAAACGCCTATAAACCAAAACAACAACAACAGTGAACGCAAGAGCGAGTGGCGTCACTCGATCAGGCGTAAACCCCGGGTCTCTAGATCTCTCTTCATTGCCGGCTAGACTCATCTCAGCCGCTGATTTGCGTAGAAAATAGCCGAGTCACAAGGCCTTGTCAAAAGGCTAGTATGAACACTGACTTGAGAGCAATATTCAGAGGAGCATACATGTATGTCACGCTACTGTTTCAGTATTACTGTAAAGCATCATAAACTTAATGACTAATCAATTATATTTATCTGCTGGTAAACAGAGTAATATTACATTCTCACATTCAATAATTTTCCTCCACGAGAGGAAATTGTTTTTTTGCAGGTAAGATTTAGCTCGTGAAGCTATGGGTATGGCTCCTCATTTCTCTCTAAAAAAATTCAAAATATGGAAGCAATTTTCTCCCATTTTGTTCATATAACTAGAACTTAAACAATATTGAAAATTAAGTTGATATGACTCCTTCTCCTACATTCACAACATCAAAGTTGTCTTGTGATTTAAATACCTTTTTCAGATTTTTGATGTAGTCATTTCCATACATTTATCAAAATCTGTGTTCGTTAGTTTGTAAAAAGCCTGTTAGGCCAGTAATTACAGATAGACCAAATGACCTTGTATAGCTAGATGTAATGGAAACATGGAGAGATCCCACTGTGTGGAATTATTTCCATAATTATGGAATTCCTCTAAGGAGTTTCACATTAAGTTTCATATATTTGATAAATGAAAGTGTTACATCTCTTGGAAGTTCTAATATAGGCAACACACATTCTATACAAAAATATCTTTAAAATAATATATAAAAGTACAATTTATGAATAAAAAGTAGTATTTTTGGGAAATAAACAAAGATGCACAATAATCCCTCCGCCCCCTACCCATCAAGCATCATTAGCATTGTACTATGATTATGTCAGTTTTAAAATGATGTATAGCGGAAACTAGTAAGAACACACACCTTATAAGTAACATTGTAACTCAAGTGTTTCACAAAGATCCTAAGTTGAACTTATCTCTAATTTGGACTTACCAATTATGAAAAGCTGTAATAGAGTCTATGAAAATATATTTTGTAAAAGTTATTTTCTTGAAAAGGCATAAAATGTCGATTCAAATCATTCATATTTTCTATTATCAAGTAGATTTCATGTTCTTGATATGAAATTTTAAAAAACTGTAAGATACTTAAATTTTCGCTTTTGAACAAACATGTATTTCATATTCAGGGTACTAATGGCTCTCCATAATGTCCAACTTAGAGTTAAGTTTGACTTTGGATCTTTGTGAAACACCCCCAGGGCTGTTAAAAATAATAAAATAAAACTAAAACTATACATTTTCAAATAAAGAATGACAACAATATTTTTTACAATAAAACGTCATTGTAATTTCTTCCAAAAAAAACAACCCAAACTGAGTTGTTGAGTGAGGAAAATCTTCTGACAACAATTTGTTTTATACCACTTTTTTCTTTCTTCTTGAGGATACCTAATAGGTCTCATGATCGGGCCTTATAGGGAATTTATTACATGATTTTTACTATAGGCACAATTATAATCCTATGAATAAAAAAGGAACCTATATCAAAACAATACATAAAAATTACTCCCAGAATTAAGCTGCTTGATATAAAATTTCCTTCCTCAATAAGTGAATAAAAACAAAATCACTCTAAAATGTATGTGTTACTGAGAACTCAGTATAGTATAAAGATTAATAAATTACAAATCTTTGTTCTTGCTAACAAAATCATGTGATAAACAGTATGGCTATTTGTATATAATACCATGTATTTGCATATTTGACAAAGACTGTATATAAATATAAATATAAATAGTAGGCTGTGCGTTTGTCATACATGAATGAATCTATTTGGAAAATGCTGGAACAATTACATTCACATGTATGTGTGCGTGTATCAATTCCTTTGTTCATTACATGATAACTACAAGTACATGTATGTAATAATACTTCCCAACAAAAACATGGTTGCTATAGCTCTCCAAATTTAATAAAGATACAAAAAGCTCTTTATCTCCTATAACAGCTATGCTGCATTAAAGACATGGTAACTTATCTCAAGTGCCTGCACAATGACCCTTTGAATAATATCCCTATTCATGTTTAATCAATCACGTTTAAAGTCCACAGAAAGATATGTTTCTCCTGGGGGTGTATTGTATAACCTGCAGCCTCTAACATTATGCACCTTTTTCAGCCTATAAAATCCCTCACAATGTATATATATCTAAACCAAATTAGCCCGCTATTTCCCAAATAGCGGGACATTTTGGAAATGAGACCAAGATTTCTCAGGATATTTTCTCGACCAAGTACTGCAAATTTCAACTGTGGGCTGATGTCGCAAATTAACTGGTTAAAAAAGCGGGTTATTTAGCAAATTCAGGCCCATGAGGACAGACCTACAGTACAGATACTCCATCTTACCTCTTCTAATCAATGTATTCTGATAGCAGTGTTACAAAAGTTCCCTGGAGCACTTCAGCTCCCCTGTGGAAAATGGATAAATATACAAATAATACACAGCAGTGAGGACATTAATAAGAATTACCCACACAAGGTAACTTTGGAAGAGTCTAACACGCCTGAGGCGGTAGCCGACAGTGTTTGGACTGTTTTTAAGGTACCTAGTGTGGGTAATTTTACTAATGCCCGAACCAAATCATGTGTATTATTTGTTTTATAAGATTGTAATTTATTCGTTTTATGAAATGATGTTTTATAATAAAATTTTACTAATGACCGGTCATTATCCAAATTGCGCGTTAGGCATAATAAATGCCTGGTCACGTGTACGCTTTCAACCAATCATTTGATCAGGATCTACGTCATCATCTTATAACATATACTATTCTATAAAATCACTGCAACTTAATTTATTTACCACTTCATGTCACTCAGAGAGAGTGAGAGAGAATGAGATAAAAATTCTCCTCATTATCAGTAACACTGCTATTTTTTTATGCCAAAAAATAATCTGCCCAGAATGACTTTAATGCACGCCTACCTAGGGGATGCCCTCCAACGAGATGAAAGAACCAGGTTAGGTGCGATGTGGCATTGCCAACACAAGAGGCACAGCAACAAGCCCAGGGCAGATCAGAATGGAGCATGAATTCTCGTAGGGGAGCTAGCTAGGGGACACACCGCCTATGCACCTAAGTTAGTAAGTAAGTAAGTCAATCTGCCTGAGTGTGTGAAGATAGATACACCGGCCAGAGTGGTATATCCAAGGATCTACAGAGGGGTTTGAAATTATGTTCCCAGTGCATGATTTATCTATACCGGGATTAAAACGATTATGGCACTAAAAACAAGACCCAAAATTACTAATTTCGCAAAGCTATTGTGGTGCACAACAGCACAAGACAACCCTTTTGTCAATTGGTGACTAAAATTTGTGCAAATAAATTTAAAATCACACGTGGCAAACAGGTCATCGTGCAGAAAGGTGAAGACAGCAACAGCTGTGGCTCTGTGACTTGAGTAACAGTGATTTCACTTTCCTCCTTGTTGAAATGTTCTAATGGACTTGTAGAGGTGTTGCAGTCAAGTGGTTTAGACACTTGAATGGAGATGCATATGTTGTGGGTTTGATCCCTGGCAAGTCACTTATGGCCTCCAGCGGATTCTGTACATATCTGTGCTTCTGCTTTTTGCTCAAGAAATTGTGGCTGACTGCAAGTTGGATCTTTTCCCAGCAGCAAAGAAAAAGTGCCTTTCTACAAATCTCTGCGGTTGCTGAAATCTGTAACTGTGGCTACATAGGCATAATTCTTGACACATTGGTGCTTTCATTAATGGCCCAATCAGGTGTGGCTGGATACCTATGTGATCTTCCACTTTATGTAGCAGCTATAATACATGGATTTCATGATGATAGCCCATGCACATACCATGATTCTCTGCATATCTGTGTTTTCACTAGTGGCACAAGATGATGTGAATGGCTACCTATCTTATGATCCCCTCAGAGCCCATAGTAAGAAGCTTTCTACAAGTCTCTGCTCTTTCTGAATGATGAGCTTAAGGCATGATTATCTTCATATAAGAACTTCTGCTGGCATCTCATGGGGCACAGCTCTTTATATTTGTTCCCACCTTTCCACTGGCAACATACGAAGCATAGCCCTATCACTGATCTCCCCCGGTAGCCTAATATGGATTTAAACTAATATCTGCTCCTGGTCAGGTTGCCTAGCTGATCTTCACCTGGCTGGCTGGCTACAATACATTCTATTCTGGGAATGTTTGACACTGCTTGTGATCCTAAAGGCGTTTTCCTTTACGTATCAGCTAGTACTTCCACTGGCAGCCTGTCTAGAGCTATCTTCCTCTTCATCATCTTCCGATGAGGAGGATGAGGATGTGGTTTTGCTGGAAGGCTTTGGTCTCCTCACGGGTTGGGGTGTGGTTCGGTCCACCAGAATATTTAGAAGTAGCATGCACTTGTCGAGCTTACGGTCCATCAATTGCATCTGAGAACATATGACAAAGGGACAGAGAAGTTTTATTAAATAACTGTTTTGACTTTAAAGCACAGAATACTCCAATTGATTCCTGATAACTTCCCTTTTTCAAGAGATGTTTAAATACTGATTCAGTTGGAAAAGCAGGATTCTTTATTAGAAAGATGACACCGTATACATTTGATATATATATATATATATATATATATATATATATATATTTATATATATCATCATTATTGTCACTATCGATCATTACCATCACCTTTATCATCCCCATCATCAACAATATCAAGATGATGCTTTTAAACAATTGAGAGCGGTATCATTTTATTGAACAGGAATTTCTCACTATTTCTCTTTGGGGAGTTCATTACTGTGCTGTCATTTAAAATTGTAGAGCCTAAAGAGCAATGTCCCTTTTTCAGCATGTAAGTTGCATTTTGTTTAACAATAATTTTGAAAATCTTACAAACAATTTTTACCATTATCTGTTCAAAATCTAAATAGCCCTTTTGCTTGTGATGATTCTTGTCTTGCAAGTTTGCTTGCAGAACTTGGTCTACCTCCTCACATTTCATTGACTAGCTTTCAGTACTGTGCCATATTGAAGCTTTCATATAATCTGTATATATTGTCTAAAAGTATTTTTTTTAAATTGTTTGTTTCTTTCATTGCGTATGTGCACTTCTTGCACGTATTTACATATTAGTTGGCTCATTCATGTTGCTACGGATATAAAATCGTACTCTTTGTGAATTTTAAGAAGTGGTGAAATACTCCCAATACCATTATAGATTCCTTATTACCATGTTAATATGTTTTTTATATGTTGTGTCAGAAATAGTAATAAATTCATTCATTCAGAATGTTCTAGCAAAACCTGTGCATGATTAAGGGACAAAAGAATAAAATACAAAAACTTAAGAATATTTGTGAAAGTATATTACATTAGCAGAGGGCCAAGTGAAAACTCACATTTTGTTCAACGACTGCGACTCTAGCAACAACCGTTTGCCGCTTCCTGTCTCCTGAATAATACAATTAAGAACATTATTTCATGACATGATTTCTAAAATTGGAAAATAGAATAAACCAGACTTGATATGGTGACAAATGTCAACAGTATTATAGAAAAACATATAGAAACAATCTTTATTTGAATAATGATCTACTTGCTCTACAGTGCGAGTCAAAAAAAAGTTTACACCTGGAAAATTGCTACCGTAATTATTAAAAAAATCATTGATAAACATTAAACTGTTATAATGTCTTATGAAAGAGCGTTTTATCCCAAATCATTTGGTACCATTTTTGTGTGGTATGTGTTCACGCTTGGATGAACAGGAGACATTGTTTGCGAGAGTGCAAAAATCGAATTGCGCCAAAGTTGCCTATGTGATGTTTGAATAAAACAATTGGGATTTGGGTATTAATTCGGTCTTTGCAGATCCAAATAACACCCCTAACAAAATTAATCATGCCACACGTATCAAATATCGAATATCAAATATCAACAAACATTTGTGCGCGTGTTTGTGGGTGTGTGTGACTTTGCTCTTCGCAAAAAACATATGCAATGCATTTCATTTGATACATTCAATCCATTCTCTCACTCCGCTAATCCCAACATAATAATATATACTGAAGGCATCACTTTGGCGCAAGTCGATTTTTGCACTCTCGCAAACAATGCCACCTGTTCATCCAAGCGTGAACACATACCACACAAAAATGGTACCAAATGATTTGGGATAACACACTCATTCATGAGATGTATAACAATTTACTGTTCATAGATGATTTTTTTTTTTAAATAGCAATTTTCTAGGTGTAAACTTTTTTTTGACTCACACGGTATACTGTAGTCGACAGACAATACTCCATACAATTACAATGTGTTTTGCTTTCTAATGTGTATCATACATTTGCATAATGTGCAGAGAAATTCACACCATTTAAAAATAAATTTGTGATACCTCTTTCTTTATCAATGTACATATGGTACTGATCAAGCAACTTTTTTTTCAATAAAAACAATACACAAATATAAATTTTGAAGTAAACAATTAAAAGAGGACTATTAAACTTCATTTGTAAGAAATAAGAAAGAAAATTCGGAAAACTATGAATATATGAGAAGCTACATGTACATGTATATGTAGCATCTTGGGATGAAGGCATAAATGGATATATTTATAAATATGTAAAATACACCTTAGTTTATTTTCTTACCTAAATGCATAGATGCAGGTTTTCCTAGCGTAGTATCAATTCTTCTTTGAAGCTCTTTAATACGGACCATCATGTTTAAATGGCCCGCTGAGTACTGCTCTATTACATCACGAACATCATATGGTTTCCTTGCTTGCTGTGAAGAATAAAATACAGAAAGATTCTATTAGGAAAGAAAATGGGATTAATGACATGGCCATCACTGGTCATGTGAACCTTAAGGTCGGTCAGAAATCACATGACTTTTACAAGCAGATCGCCTGTCTGATTATCAAAATATTTATGATTGGAAATCGGAATCAAATTTTGCGTTTTCCTAACAGTTTTTATAACACTACAGTCTATTGGGGAAAATGAGTATGGTAAAACCGGTCACTCGAAGACTTTTACTTTTTTGAGGCACTTCATGATCATTTTGAAGTGCAATTTTGTTATATAGGGCTTCAATATTACACCATATCACAAACACTGATAACACGTACGGCCATGCTTCTCAGATTTAACATTGTTAAACGATGCCTTTCATTTTAAATTACAGTAATAATTTGAAATTTGATCAACTCTTTCTTGGCTTTGGAATTCGTTTTCACTGGCTGCCTGCCGTAGCAACAAACAACAAACTCTGTTTTGTTGACGATCAGCCATGCATGAAGTCTTTCGTCTTCTTCGATGTTAGGCCAGACAGCCAGTGGAACAGATTCATTTAATAACATTATGGAAAATGCAGCATTATACTTTAAACAAACAGAACTTTGTTATTCCTGGCTAATTTTTCCTGATTGAGGTGTCATATGAAAGGGCAGAAAATGAACTTTCTAGAAATATGATTTTATCTTTGAAATTCAGATACCGTTTGCCAAATGACTTTTTGGTACCCTTTTTTAAATTGTTTTCAATCACTCATGCATGAAATATGCATCATATGAGTTGCATCAAATGAAAGAGGAGGATCTAAGCTTTACAAATATGTGCCACTTAATAATTATAACTGTGTTTAAGTTATGATAACACATTGATAATTCTCGGTTTTGTTTTTTCTAGGATGCACTGTATATCAATAATATGAGAAAATCACAGTTGCCAGAATTAACATAATATTTTCTTGCTGCTACTCTCTGTTCTTTCTACGTCTACTGTATTTATTTATTTTTCTTCATAAATTCATGAATGAAACTGAAGTATGAATCTCATTAAGAACCACAGCCAATGTCTCACAAACAAACGTTGAAAGATTTAGGATGAATCAATATCCATGTTTAACAGTCAGCTACATAAATGTGTAGATGTACTGTATGTGATTTATAAAAAATCAAATAATAAACAGTTAATATATCTTGGCTTGGGTTTGTGATAAAAGGACACAAATTAGGAATTAGTTAGACTTACCTGGAATTTTCTTCTTGCAACATAATACCTAATTTTTCTTATTGCACGAATTGCATTTTTATGGGCATCTGTGAGTCTGGAGTAGGAGAGAAATGAAATAAAACAGAATGATTAATTTCCAGGATAAACCATAACTTGCATGCTTTTATTGTGTGCATTGAATTTTCTACATATGGCATAGATGTAAATTCATTTTCATGACGTCATTACACCAACTGCCTTTGAAGGTGTCAGAATAAATTGGGAATTTCAATTATTTATTTTACTCGTGCTTTGGCCATTTAATTCCTGAGAGAGCTAGGCAACTAAGAAAATATTTGTCATGTTTTCTTAGATCACATGAATTTTAGTTGGGTGCGGCAGAGTGAAGGTGAGTGTACATGTATGTATGGTTGAATCTGTGCAGTTGACGAGGTTTGAAACAAGGTTCTAGGTAAGGATAAGGGAGAGCCTGTATGGTGTGTCGTTGAATACCGGGTACCGCAACCATGACATTGTATTCGGTGGAAGGAAACCCTTTATACAGGTTATGAATTGAAAGGTAATCCTCAAGCCGAGCATTATTTGTGAGTCCTGAAACCCCTGACAGAAGGCATAGAGCTTACATAGACTTGTACTTGAATAGTCAATAGCAACGGTGATCATAGAACTTGCAGAAAATAGGAGTATGAGGTTCTCATTGGTGTAGGTTTCAAGTCCAACTCCAGGACCTCACCCCTTGACCTGCGACATAACCCATGTTGATTCCGTTACACCACAGGACTGAGCTTATCTTATAGGATGCTAGAACACCATGGGACTTGGCTCATCGTATAGGACTCTAGAACACCACGGGACTGAGCTCATCCTATGGGACTCTAGAACACCACGGGACTGGGCTCATCTTATAGGACCCTATAACACCACGAGACTGAGCTCATCTTATAGGACCTTAGAACACCAGGGGACTGAGTTCATCTTGTAGGACTCTAGAACACCAGGGGACTGAGTTCATCTTATAGGACCCTAGAACACCTGGGGACTGAGCTCATCTTATAGGACCCTAGAACACCACGGGACTGAGCTCATCTTATAGGACTCTAGAACACCACGGGACTGAGCTCATCTTATAGGACTCTAGAACACCAGGGGACTGAGCTCATCTTATAGGACTCTAGAACACCACGGGACTGAGTTCATCTTATAGGACCCTAGAACACCACGGGACTGAGCTCATCTTATAGGACTCTAGAACACCACGGGACTGAGCTCATCTTATAGGACTCTAGAACCCCATGGGACTGAGCTCATCTTATAGGACTCTAGAACACCACGGGACTGAGTGCATCTTATAGGACTCTAGAACACCACGGGACTGAGCTCATCTTATAGGACTCTAGAACACCAGGGGACTGAGCTCATCTTATAGGACCCTAGAACACCACGGGACTGAGCGCATCTTATAGGACCCTAGAACACCACGAGACTGAGCTCATCTTATAGGACTTTAGAACACCACAGGACTGAGCTCATCTTATAGGACTCTAGAACACCAGGGGACTGAGCTCATCTTATAGGACTCTAGAACATCACAGGACTGAGCTCATCTTATAGGACTTTAGAACACCACGAGACTGAGCTCATCTTATAGGACCCTAGAACACCAGGGGACTGAGCTCATCTTATAGGACTCTAAAACACGACAAGACTGACCTCATCTTATAGGACTCTAGAACACCACGGGACTGAGCTCATCTTATAGGACTCTAGAACCCCATGGGACTGAGCTCATCTTATAGGACTCTAGAACACCACGGGACTGAGTGCATCTTATAGGACTCTAGAACACCACGGGACTGAGCTCATCTTATAGGACTCTAGAACACCAGGGGACTGAGCTCATCTTATAGGACCCTAGAACACCACGGGACTGAGCGCATCTTATAGGATCCTAGAACACCACGGGACTGAGCTCATCTTATAGGACTTTAGAACACCACAGGACTGAGCTCATCTTATAGGACTCTAGAACACCAGGGGACTGAGCTCATCTTATAGGACTCTAGAACATCACAGGACTGAGCTCATCTTATAGGACTTTAGAACACCACGAGACTGAGCTCATCTTATAGGACCCTAGAACACCAGGGGACTGGGCTCATCTTATAGGACTCTAAAACACGACAAGACTGACCTCATCTTATAGGACTCTAGAACACCACGGGACTGAGCTCATCTTATAGGACTCTAGAACAACACGGGACTGAGCTCATCTTATAGGACCCTAGAACACTATGGGACTGAGTGCATCTTATAGGACCCTAGAACACCACAGGACTTAGCGCATCTTATAGGACTCTAGAACACCACAGAACTGAGCTCATCTTATAGGACTCTAGAACACCACTGGACTGAGCTCATCTTATAGGACTCTAGAACACCACTGGAAGACTTGTAATGACTCAACAAACACTCAACTTGAGTTTGACTGGGTCAGCTAGGTTGGTAGCTAGTCAACTCAACTCAATTCCTGTAAATAATTTAAAGTGGCCCACTTTCCTTGGCAGATCACTCACGTGGTTATTGTTTCAGGCACATAGGGAAGGCTGTAAGTATCACTTTCATCATGAGGATCAAGGCAAACAATATCTCCCATTCTCATTGTTCTCTGTGAGCTGTCTGATACCGATAGCTCCACTGCTCTCTTTCTGTTAGGGTTTCCTACAGAAGATGAACAACAAAAAAGATTGTCAGGTTACTGTGAATTTACATGTTAATTTAATCTTTTGATTTTCCAAAAAATTGTGCTAGTTAAAGTTATTTGAATCTGAGTCGGCTCTTTCAAAGAAATTCAAAATAAATAATGTATTTCATTTTCAACATTCTCTATGAGATGTCCAATACTGACAACTCAACTGCTTTCTTCCTGTTCGGCTTTCCTGTGGAATTTCAAAACAAAATGTTACAGATTTTCTGGTTAGATGAATTTTTGTGCTCATTTTGGTTATTCCAAATAATTTAGGAGCCATCCATTTCAAATAATATCAAGAGGACTGTGAATTAAGAACACTTTTTTTTAATATAAATTTCTTCTTTTTTCGGAGGGGGGGGGGGGTATCTCAAAAGTACTAACATTTATGCTCAAGCAATCACCAACCTCTCACAAAAGCTCAGTTGTGTGGAATTAATACCGATATTTGAAGGGAGGCTGAAATGAAATGATTTTAGAATATCTAATTTATATCATGTGATCAATGGTAAGTTGTTTTTTAGCAATTGTCATATATAATCATTCAAGCATGAGTTAGATTTGATAATTGTTTTATTATTAAATTGGACATTCAAATATCATAAATGGGAGTACACTTTATAATATGTGGATACTGGTTCTCTTTCAAAACTCATTTTATTTGGAGGATTAAATTGGTAGAGCACTGAAGTGAAGGGCCTAATCACTGTGTTTTAATACCTGCTGTGGGTTCTTCCATATAGCACACCATATCACCACCGGCTCCTGCTGCGGCCACTGCCACTGACCCAGCCAAGTTACAAGCAACCCCGCCCATCAACGGAGATATCTTATCCGCTGGTGGTGAGGTATTTGAATTAGCTGCATTTTGATTGGCTGCTGGTTGCTCACACAGCTCCAGGAGCGTCGTTGGTAGGAGGGCCTCCTTCAGGCTCAGCTTGGAGCTCTTACGTCGCTTCAATGCGAGGTGAGGTTTGACTGAGTTCACCACCCCTGATAGTTGGTTAGGCACGGATTGTTGCAGGTTGGGCGTAGAGGGCGCTAAGTGGATTTTCCATGTTGCTTCTGATTTGAAACCCTCTTGATTTGAGGCATATAATCTCCAGGCACACTACATCCAAGACAAACACACAAAACAAATCAACCAAAGGCTTTACTCTTCAGTCTTTCTCACATTTACCTGTGAACAAAAATCTTTATCAACTTATATTAAACCTTTATTTTTTCAAAATCAACAAACCAATTTTGGGTGTCTATTCCTTAAATTTTTTGTTCACCCACAGTTCATATTTTTCTTCTTAATTGAATCATTGGCCATAGATGATACATAATCTTTTTCTACAGAAGGTATGAATATGGCACCAAAAGTTCAACTGCGATAATTATACATATATTAAGTAATAATCTGGAGTAAAATAGCACTTAATACAAAATACCGTCTCTAAGCGCTTTACAGATATATTTCCCTGGTCATCGGATTCAATTAATGTGCACCATCTCCACTCCCTGGGGAGTATTCCTACCATATGGTCACCATGAGGGCATATGGCAGTTACTAACACAAAGACTTAAGTCATCCTACCAGGTCCCCATTTCTCTCCTGGGTATGGAGTGGTAAATTTAGATTAATGCCTTGCCAGAGGACATCAGTGACGTGTCAGGTATCAAACCCACAAATACGATAGAAAACGATAGAACAATAGCTAACTCAAATAATCTCTGCAACTTTTAAGGCAATCAACTTAAATGAATGCGTTTTTCTTTCTACAGAGGATTGTTCAATCAGCATTTGTTAAAAGAAATACAAAATTCCAATATTATAAAGAAACATCTTTTGCTCGTCTTAAAGTGTAGCTCAAACCATGGTTTAAAGTTTGAACATCATTCATGACTTTGGGTCTTAATGATACTTACCTGAATAAGGGTAGCAGCTGCAGGAATTTGACGACTGAAATGTTTTTGCCTCTGCTTGTGTTGTACCTTCAAAGCAAACCCTGAACCTAGAATACCCTGCAGTAATAAGATAGAAAGAAACATAGAATGGTATAATGATGAATTAGTCACAATCACATTGTCCTTGTGTCTCCAGGTCCTCTCTTCTTTGGAGTCACACAGAATATTTTTCCCAAAAAATTTCTCCTCCATCAAAGAATACCTTTCCAAGCTAATTCCCCTTTCTCTGTTTAAAAAGTATGGAATGGTATACCTTTCATTAAAGACTGAATAAAACTGAAATGAAAGCATGATATTAGCCTAACCTACATTTGCGATGACAGAAAATGTCAAATTGTGTAATTAATTATTTTGCAGATCCAATAGTTCATATGAATTTACAGTCATGGTGTAAGATGTCACTCAATTTGAAATATTCAGTTTTACATTTATTTATTTCTCAGAAATATGACTTGTGTATAATTACTATTGCACTTGCTTTGATATATGAGTGGAAGGCTAATTAATAACACTTCAATCTTTATGACTCGGCTCAGGCTACTACAAAGTGAGTCGTCTTTGAGAGTCAAGTATTTAATATGCCAAACACCTCATGTCGTCTTTTTAGGCAAAACCTTTGAGTGAAATTGAAGCACGAAGAGCAGTAGACCACAAATCATTACTTGTTATTCTTTGTTAAAGACAAAAAAAAACTTCAACAATTTATATTTTCCCTTAAGAAAATTTAAAATCATAAATTCGCCCTAAATATAATTATTGCAATTTTTTAAAAATACAATCTTGGTATGAAACAAATCTATTCCGGCATCAATAACTAAGAAAATGAAAGGTTAAGATATTTTCTGTACAGAGCAAATTGGAGAGGAGCTCGCAAGACACGTCACAGCATTGCCAATTTGTGTTTCAATGATCGCAACTTCAAACATTCATAACTTGCTTATTTGTAATTGGCTTTTGCTCAAACTTTCACTAATTTGATTCTCTCATTTTCTGCTTTTTAAACACCAACTCAATATCAGAGTGGACTTCCCCTATGGGAACAAGATAATGCACTAGTCAAAGAGTTAACAACACGAGTGAGTAGGGTGGGCTAGCTGGCCATTAAAGTTGAGCAGCTACTTGAGAAATACCTTGATCCTCTAGGCTTATGTGCCAGACAGGAGCTTACTACGTGTGATATCTCTCCTAAATGTCTCTCTTTTACCTTGACATCTCTCTCTCTCTCTCTCTCTCATCTCTCTATCTTTCTCTCTCCCCCTCTCTCTCTCTCTGTATCTTTTTCTCCTTCTAGTCTGTCTGTTTTTCATCTCTCTTTCTCTTTCTTTCTTACCCTTCCTCTCATCACTTTTGTTCTGCCCCCCCCCCTCCCCCACTCTCTCTCTCTCTCTCATGTTAGTTGCTTCATCTAAAAACTACATACAGCACTGCAAGGGTTACAAATTATATTTAGATAAGGAAATGCATGACACCTTTAATAACAGCAACATAATGAACAAAACATGTAAAGGGTAAACTAGTCCTTTTTTTAATTATGTATTTTGGAAGAATAGATATGTATTGTGAAGCTTTGCATTTGTCAAAATTATACCAAAAAATGACCCAATATCGTTGAAAAATCACAAACAGTAAAGAGCACTGCAGAAAGACATATAGTATATTCACAATTGTGTTCTAGTAATTTGTAATATAAAGGCATTTTAACAGGATTCTATCCTGATAGGTTACTACTACTGTACCCAACATGTATTTCCTCCACATTTATATTTTCTCTTCTGTAAGATATTAATCCTCATTACCAAGTCCCTTTGAGAGGACTTAATGCTGTTGATCCCCTGGTTGTTTGTTTACAAGCATATACATGTTTTCTTAGCAATCAGGTAAAACAACCATCTTCAGAACATTAACAAGTTATTCATCACCTTCCCTAGCTAGATCTCTATATATACCTCCTGTTTAACAGGCCTGGAGAAAATGGCTGCATTTGGATGATACCATCTTAAAGGTAAAGACCAGTATTGGAAACGCCCCAATTAAAAAAAATGTAAAGAAAGCTCTTTATTACCAATCATGTGAAAGAATATGTTTTGACTAATACATGATAATAACAAATTTGCCGGGAAACCGCCTACTAATTGATATATTTGGTAAATTAGTTTATCCATTGGACTGTGAGAGATAAACGCACGTCCCATATACATCTTTCTGTGTACAGTTCTTGTAACTTTACGAAGACTGGGCCAAATTTCTTATCATTTTGATGATTCCAGAACCTTGCAGTACACACCAATACTTATATGCTAGATGATCAACCTTTTCTGATCGATTCCACGTTTCTTTCACAATGCAATCACATGACCATAACTGGTCTTTATCTTTAAAGGCAGGATGCAGGCTTCCTTGCCTTGGTATGACGTCATCCCTCTGCTGAGAGTCAGAAGAGCATTGAATCTGTATTAATGCCCTTCTGACTCTCAGCTAGCAGACAATGCCTAAGATGGCTGTATTTACACAAGGATGACAACGCCTATAATAATAGCAATAAACACCCAGCGGTAATAGCTAGCCTCCCACCTAGATATGACATCATCCCTACTTAAGAGCCAGAAAGATATTAACTCTGCGTAAATGATAGCCCTTCTAGCTCTCATTCAGAATGCTGTATTTGCAAAGGCACATGTTCACTGTATGCGATAATAACAGCAGCAAGGAAGCAGCGCTAATGGCCGACCGTCCTTGGCTTGGTATGACATCATCACTCTGGTGGTGAGATATGACGTCAATCTCCGTCTGACATCATACGATTGAAAACCTCCCCACAATTAATTATGGAGAGAGCTTCTGCTAACACATGGAATGGTACGGCATGGTGATTAAGAAATTCTCTCTGTGTCTTTCCTCAATGAGAGGACGATAACGCAAATATGCAGACATTTAAAGGCAAACACACATTCAGAGTGGAAAGAAATGATGAAATAGTATTATTGTTATTTGTTGATAATAATAATATTATTATTTATATCATTATTATTATAATCATCATCATCGTCATTATTATTATCATTATTATTATAATCGTTATTGCCATAATCAACATCACAGATGCTACCATTTTATTTTTTGTTTTTAATTTATTTATTGTGAACAATTACAGAGACAAATGGTATAGAATATTATTTTAGGGAAAAAATGATAAAGTTTATGTATTCTCCCTGTGTTAGCTTTCCACTGATGGAGGATTAAACAGCAAATATACACAAAGTTGAAGAGAAACACAGATCTATAGTAGAATTGGCTAGTTGTATATAATACATTGGATGTATATATAAGGCAAATCTGAGGATTAAGTTTTCTGCATGTGTTCAAGTTCTGATGGATTACCTGTAATGAGGATGATTTGGTAAATATGCAAGCATTAATAAGAATGGCTTATGAGTTTTTGAATTAGTCTTTTATGAGATCTAAATTGGCAACCCTGTAATTATTTTAGCACCTTATCCATTTAAACAGCTCTATTTTCTTTTAAGAAAACATTATTCATACATAAAACCTGGACATAATTTTACGCATGTTTATGTGCAATCCTGTTGTGAAATACATCTATTCCTTCACAAAAAAAAGAGTCAAATTTATTATATATACAAAAATCAGTACACAAAGCAAATGGTCGAGGGGCTAAAACAAATAGATCACAGAAATACCAATTTGCAATTGATGGAGTACAATCATAAACTTTATAACTTTATAAGATTTTAAAATAAATCAAGTAAGTATTATGAAAACTCTTAGGAAGAAGACTACATTGAATACAGGTCAGGGTGGTAGCCATTTTTATTGCCAATTTGTGAAGATCTTTGGCATTGTCCATTTCATTACTAGTGATTAAGATGGGCGCTGCGATACACCGTGGCCCTGTGGCGGGGCCATCCTAGCGTGATTAGTTAGGCAGATTGCTCTATCAATCAAAGCTTGGCCTTCGATTGTTACTCAGATCACTCTCATTTCCACACTATTACAGACTATTATCATGCATGTTCAGCCTGCAGGGGTCAAAGAGCCTTTGGATTGCAATCTGATATCTCCCAAATAGATTTAGGATCAATCAAAGGCCTTATTGAGTTGTTACAGTCATATTGCAATAGGGTGATCTGACAATATTGTTCCAAATTTGACTGGTCAATGATGGACAAGTTGGTTTAGTGTTGGGAGCGAACTTGGGTGTTAGGTTGGATTTGGGTAAGGTTTGGTGAAGGTATAGATGAGAAAAGGCAGTTTTGGAAAATCACATCAACGCCTCAGCAGTGCTCCGGCATTGACTCACATGACAGGTGCTTAGATTGTTAAAGACATTAATCTACATGAAGGTGCAAATTTAGGGTTGAAATTAGATTCAAGGGTGAGTTTCTGGATAAGTATAGGGTACAGGTACAGATGAAAAAAAAACAGTATTGGAAAATGTTGCAGTGGTGATCCAACGTCTGCTTCGGTGATGATTGTGCCAAGCTTGATTCCATCCATTTAAGGTATAGGATTGAGCTTATAGATGTAATTGCGTTTTATGGTAAAAGGGTTAGGGGTAAGGTGTAGTGTTTGGGTTATGGTAAGACTTAGGATAGGGTTTAGGGATTGAATTAGAGTTAGGTATAGAGTTTGGTCCATGGTTGATGTTAGGGATTCAGTTTGTATATAATATGGAACAATTCTTGCATCTCAGAACAACCTCGATCACCACTCGCATGTTATCTGGCATGGACTAGTCAACAAATATCAGGCCTGCACTAATTGAGGAACACCTTCCTTTAAGAAAAGACCACCCTGATATCAAGTTGCTTTTAGTAGAAGCTGAAAATTGGTGGTTTCTTTAATCAATCATTTATCCTCGCCCTGAATATTTCTAAGCAAAATATTATACTTATGATCATCAGCATCACTTCCCTTTTAAAATGGTCTGAAATACTTTAATGTTTAAAATCAATCAATCCCTTATAATTGAGAAATAATTACACTGAAAATATGTTCATTAGTTACAGGATGTCGTCTGCTTATGCTCAAACTTTCACTTATTTGTTTCTCTATTTGTTCTGCTTTTATTAGATGCAACTTAACATCAGAGTGGACTTCCCCTTTAATCTTTGTAAAGGAATAAAGGCCAACTGATGACAAGCACGATGGTTAAGTAATAATAATAATAATAGTTCAGTTCTTGTATAGCGCATAATACAGACGAGTTCAGAAAACAACATCTATAACTGCAGACTAACATTATGCATTTATCTTTTGTAATAACATCCCTTTGATTGTATTTCAATAAGAGCTCTTTATATAGTTCTTCATCACTAACTCCAAGGATTCTTTTAATGGTGTATTTTCAAATGTCATGGATCAAGGACTCAGGAATTCCTGGAATCAATACTATTATCTATAATTGCGTCACCTGAAAGGCCTACATTTACATCATGATCATTTGATGTACTATTCCCACTGGAAGGCAGCTAGACACTACCAATTGGCAGAGAAAATGAGATTCAGGTAAACACATTAATCTGTGTACCTTTTGGATACATACTTCACGCCTCATCTTGCAGTTCCTAGCAACTCGTATTAGCACTGATCAGGATAGAATGTAAACTCATTACATCATCCTGCAAAACCTCTTGTACAATGCGCTAATGGGAAGAAATGTGACGCATTACTAGATTGGAGCTTTTACAGTTATAGCCCATGACTTCAATTACTGAAAAGTATGGTCAATTGTCATGCATTTAAACCTTTCTATAATGACCACCTAAGAGAAGCAGAAAGCATGGTCCCTATACACAGGTGGCAATTATACAGACATGCTCTCCTCATTAGCCCTAATGAGCTTCAAATGAGAATTCATTATGTTTGGTATTCTAGGAAATCAGGTATACTGTAGCTGTTGTGGTTTTCCCACAAAGCTTGGATTTATGAAAAATATATTTAAACCTTTCTATAATGCTTAACAAACAAAAGATGTTGTCTTGCCCTTTAGGTGCCAAAACATGGGTCAGTCGGTCGGTCAGAAATTTTTTTTTTCTTTTTTCTCTCCCTCTTTCGGCTGACATTTCTCAGATTTGAATGCTCTAATACACTTTTTTCTCTAAAAAACAGTTTTAAAAAATAAACATTTTTTAAAAGCCGACCGTAGATTTTTGGGTCGGTTGCAAAGGGCAATTCAAAAAAAAAAAAATTTAAGCACCTATAATGGCCACGTATAGGCCTGTTCACAATTTGCTGCAGATTACTGCTACGGTTTACCCCAGGTTTATTTTTAAAGGTTACTTAAGCACACTGTATTTCAATTTGTTTACATCTTTGTTATAACACGTAGCTTTGTTGTGCGCAAGTACTCTTTGAATCCCAACTTGGATTTCATTAAGTAAACAAAACAAAAACACAACGGTAAACCGTGGCATACAACCCTTTAAGTGATTCGGTAACATTGTTGAAAGTTGATGAAAAAACTGCCTAATTTTTGTATGAAATGTTACTTATCATATTCCTTCTACTGTACTAACCCTCTAACATGCACAAAATCCTGAAATATGCTCAAATCACAAATATATTCATGGTTTTCTTTGACAGCAGCAATATATAACTCCCTCTAACAGTAAATTCTCCCAACCAATTTTTGAATTATCCAAACTGTTTTTCCATGAAAATAAGACATAAAACAGGCTCTTAATTTTTTTTTCAAAATCCAAATGTTTGGAATGGTATATGAAGCTAATTCATATGATGATTTACAGTCACCTAAAATTTAATTTAATCATGATAATAAGGTTGGGAGAATTTAGGAATCTCTCATCTGAACTATGTTACTGAGTCCCTTTAAAGCCCCACTGCACTACTTATAGCTACTTGCGCCCTCTATATAGTATATAGCGGTGACCGTTGGTCCCCCATGGTCCCATGTTAATTGAGAGCTGATTTGATGAGATATCCACCTGTCAGTGACCATGCGGGGAGGTCTAATCCCTCCTGGCCAAACTAGTGCAGATAGGCTTTAAGGGATACATGGTATAAAACAGCCTTGTGGTATTATGTAAGTTGATATTCTAATCATTACAGGATGAATAAACCAACAATTTGTATCTACGGATAATCTTTTCCCTCCAACATTAATCAGCATAATAAGAACAGTCACCAGTCTGAGTATATCCACATCTAACGTAGATAGATCATGATCTTGTCCTCTTTCTTCTTTCTCAATCTTTTGTTTCTTATTATTCTGCAGCATATCATGCCCCCTTCCTCCTCCAATCATCATCATTACCCCCCCCCCCCCCCTCTCTCTCTCTCTCTCTCATTATCCCCCTCTCTCTCCCTATCTCTCCTTCTCTTTCTCTCTCTCCCCCTCTCTCTCTCTCTCATTATCCCCCTCTCTCTCTCCCTATCACTCCTTCTCTTTCTCTCTCTCCCCCTCTCTCTCTCTCATTATCCCCTTCTCTCTCCCTATCTCTCCTTCTCTTTCTCTCTCTCCCCCCTCTCTCTCTCATTATCCCCTCTCTCTCCCTATCTCTCCTTCTTTCTCTCTCTCTCTCATTACCCCAAGCTCTCTCCCTCTCTCTCTCTCTCTCTCTCTCTCTCTCTCTTTCTCTATTTATTGTCTTCTTACAGCCATAGTGGCTGCCATACACACACTGACATGGTAACTGTACTGTCATCTCATTATCACCATTGCAAAAATGTCAATTATAAGAATACTAAGTTATAGCTTAATCACAGGTATTTGGGACAATACAAACCTGATACATACCTGTTTCATAAAGCTTGCTATCATTAACAAATTTCAAATTTCAATGACAACACAGCTCACAATCTAATGCAGTTATTTGAGGAGCTTATAAAACAGTTATTGCAGCACGTTCATAACAAGTTCCATGAAACAGGGCCGTGCTCTGCTTAAGATATTGCAGGTATACAGTACTCACCGCCGGTAAAGCGAAGAAAGATATTGCAAATATTGAGAAACAGGAAGCTATCATCTTGCCCAACCAGGTATTGGGCACTTTGTCTCCATAGCCAATGGTTGTCACAGTTACCTGTTTTAAAAACAAACAAAATCAAGTGATTTGAAGACAATGTTTAGCATTCAGATTCCATTGTGACTTAGTGTCTTACTGTTCTACAAGTCGAGAGGCTCCTGAGTGGATTAAGGCTTTGGAGAATAGGACAAAAGAGATAGTTGATATGGTAAACCAGTTTTGAAAACAAACAAAATTTATTTATTCTGAGACAAGGGGTTTGAGGTTCAAATTCTGTTGCAACTGCAGGACTTGGTGTTCTATGAGGGGTATTACAAGGTTCTTGCTACAAGTATACATTGATTTAAGAGCAGAAAACATCTTTGTGGGCTAAGCCATAGTTAAATAAGGTGAGAGAGATATATATATATAGAGAGAGAGAGAGAGAAAGAGAGAGGGAGGGGTATGCTAAGAAAGAAAAAGAAAGAAAGACAGGCAGAAAAAGATGGGACTGAGGAAAATGTATATGAAATATTTATAACTTATGCTGAGGGACACAAAACATGGAGAAACAGAGGATAAATAGAAAGATAGAGAAAGAGAGAGGGGGTAACAGAGTGTAGTACAAAGGGGGGAAATATGCATTGAAGTGAAAAAAGCAATTGACAGGGGGAAAGTGGGAAATAAGCATAGGAGTGAGAAACAGAGATGGCATATGAGAGGGAGGGGCAAAGGAGAGCAATAATAATAATAATTAATGTTTATATAGCGCTTAATACAAATGTCTCTAAGCGCTTTACAAATAAGGGGTAAGATATGAGTTCAAAACAGTGTGAGAGACAACACATATGGAGGAATAGAAAGAGGGCAAAAAAGGATATCAAAAGGTATAACTAAGCTGAAAAGTGAAATATATTTCATGGGATTGGAGGGAAAGAGAGAGAGAGAGAAAGAACAAGAAACATGGGTAGAAAAGACCCAGCACAACATGAGTCACAATGAGTGAGTGAGTGCAAGAGAAAATAAACAGAGGGAGGAAGAGTGGAAAGACAGGGGAAGAATAACAGGGAGGGAATGGATCTTAGAGACGACACTGCTTTAAAGTGAAAAGCAATATACAACAGCAGAAGCACAAATGTTTGATGGTAAAGGGAAATGGAGAGTCCCTAACGGCAAGACAACGGTGATCTATCAGTTTCAAAGACTGTTTGATCAGATGGCTGGTGCTCTCAACATGTAAACAGAGAAACAAGAATTCTGATCAATTTGTGATTAGTCCCAGGGTGTACACCCGTCAGTCAGTGAGGCTGTTCACACCGGCAGAGATAGCGCGCGCTAGATCGCGCTATCTCTGCGGTTTGGAAGGTACAACGTCGTTTCGGTCCGCCCAACAGCGAGCCACGGCGAGCCAAAACGGCGTGCCACTGGAGCACCTCTTGGGGGTGGTCCACGAGAGATAACGCGGTCTAGCACGCACTAGAAAAAAGGGGGTGCTACGGTAGACCGCATTATCTGATTGCGGTGTGAACAGCCTCAATGAATCAGTTGAAGGCACCAGGGAAGAGATCAATTCTAAATGGCAAAATGCACTTATGTACATGTACAGTTAACAACTAAATTATTCATATCCTTGTAAATTTCATATATTTGTGTATTTTTGTCACTCAAGAATGAAAGGTGGACTGGCTGAATTAGGGCCTTTGTTGTCACATTCTTAACAAACATAAATTGGGACAAATCATTATTCACATATATTACAAGACTTGGTAAGGATATAGATAATTTAGTTGTTAAATGTATATTCATACATGGAAAGGAGTAGCAATGGCATTCAGAATGTTGAAATTAATGGAAATAGGTATGTCTGACATTAATCAATGTAAATTCAATACATGGAAAGGTGGTTAAAAGTATAGCACCCTTTCCAAAGGGTTCAATAAGTCATTAATGAAATGATAATATTTCTTACCACACCCCACCATAGAGCATCAGCATAAGTCTCAAATTGACAAATGCCCTTAGCATCTATATGATCCTTCTCAGCAAGATATACAAAATAAGAGGTAAATATGAGCCCCAGGAAGCCAATGTATAATGTGGTTATCAGCTCCTGAAAGAAACAAAGAAAATAAATAAAAATATAGCAACAATTTCTGTACCACCAGAAGTGTAAACAATCACCACACATTAATTTTAAAGCATGAAATTTGGCATCTCACATCCTTGCATCACTATTATATTCAATTATGAAGGTCTTCTTGCAGAACAACATGCTAGGTTACTGGTTTTACAGTTGAGAATTGTACATTAGAGAATAATTAAATGGTTTCTGCAAAAAGTGCAATGATTTTTTGTTTTTGTTTTTTGTTCTTTGCACATATATAAAGTTATGAGGAATTTTTCTCTGCTGATCTAACATAATTTTTTTCTTCATTTGCCAAGTTAAAACTAATTTTCCTTATGACAATTTCCTGTGGTGATTTAGCATGACTTATATGGACATTAAGGAGATGTAAGTCCCTTACCTGCCGATGAATAAATACTACTGAACCAAGAAGTCTCCATGTTCCTCCTTGTCTGTCTATGTGCAACATACGAAGAATTTGAAGAAAACGCACACCCCTGAAAAAATATCAATCAAATGGGACATTTAGAGTAATCTGCAGTATGAATAAAGCAAACATTTTAAATGCACCAAGAATCAATTATAACTTTACAAATAACACCAAAACTACAAATATACATTATCATTTAAAGATATTCAAAGAAAATATAACTGAGAATAAAATCAACAAAGCAATAAAAGTATAAAACTATCAGAGGTATAGATGTAGTATAGAAGTACTCTTACTTAAAGAATTAACTGTAGCAGTACTAGTGGTGGTGGTGATGAAGGTGGCGGTGGTAGTAGTAGTAGAAGTAGTAGTAGTAGTAGTAGTAGTAGTAGTAGTAGTAGTAGTAGTAGAAGTAATAGTAGTAGTAGTAGTGGTGGTGGTGGTGGTAGTAGTAGAAGTAGAGTAGTAGTAGTAGTAGTAGTAGTAGTAGTAGAAGTAATAGTAGTAGTAGTAGTAGTAGTAGTAGTAGTAGTAGTAGAAGTAGTAGTAGTAGTAGTAGTAGTAATAGTAGTAGTAGTAGTAGTAGTAGTAGTAGTAGTAGTAGTAGTAGAAGTAGTAGTAATAGTAGTAATAGTAGTAGTAGTAGTAGTTGTTGTTTTTCTGTTGTAGAAGTAGTCAGAATAGTAATAATGCAATTCTGTCCCATATAGTGAATATTATTTTATGATATCAAATTGTGTATGCACCTCCAAACGACTTGAGAAAAAGTAAGGGAAATAGAAGCAGTAGTTATTATGAAAAATATATTAGTTCCAGTAGCTTCATTAGGAAAATTTAACATTCAATGTTTTATATCACTTCCCGCCCCCTCAACCTCCTGCTTAATTCACGTCAGTAATAATTTTTTAGTCTGTAATGATTTTTATTTTTAAATCTCATCAAGAAAACCACTGAATCATTCATTACTGCATTATTGCTGTATGTTCCCATCTTTCCCATGTTCTCCTTAGTGTGCTAGCTACTAACCATTATTAGTTTTCATGATGAATCTGGTTTAATTATTGATAAAGTAATCATGATCATCTCTGTGTGTTTATGATGCATTCCGCTGGTAGCTCAATGGACCCCATTCGCACTACCAAAATTCATTGTACACAAAAACAAAACAAAACAATAGCTCCACAATAAGTAATGATATTTTTTTAGGACTACCACACTCAAGAAAGAAAAATTATTGAGAGTCCTTTTTCAGGACTTACCAATCCTCTTTCTCTCACATGGTGCAACCGCAAGCCTATTCTAGATATCGTTTTTAGTTTGAACATCTTTTAAACAAAGTTCAAAGTGAGCATCATTTCAAAACTAAATTTACTCCTAATGTGAACGTTTGTTCTATAGTATGAAAAATCATATAAATGGAACTTTGTGTATAGTACAGAATTGAGCATCATTTCAAAGAAAAACTCAATAAAGAATCTGATTCCACTTCTCATGTGAATGATGTATCACATGAAAACACTTTTCTAGACGAGGCATATCGAGAGCATGAACTGATACTACTACTACTTCTACTACTAATATCATTACTACTTTTACTACTATGGGGGGATATGTCAACTGACCTATCCTAAACTAGTTTCTCCATACCATGTTTCTTTACACCATACTTAGTTTGTAAGTGTGTACACCTGCTTGCTATATACAATGCTTCTTTATACCACATTTCTTTATGAGTGGTGCATGAAGTTCCCATAGTCTGAATGGGCCGAGATATTTCAGTGCATTTCCGCTAAGTCGTATCGAGGGAGTAAATCATCAGGGAAATTAAACGCATCTCTCGGTCTACCTTAAGACAGGGTAGATATCATTAATGGACCAAAGCACATGGGGGTGTTAGCATTAGACCCACTAAGATCAACACACTTCAGCTGCTAGCGGTCTAGGAGATATAAGTTAATGAGGCGGAGGTTATTAAATGATAAGATACTCATGGAAAGGTTATATTTATGAACATGTATTACGCCGGGTATTATATCTGTAAAGCAAAAGTAGCAGTGTAACATTTCACATTTTTAAAAACAAAAAATTTGCAAGTTTTTTTTAAAATTATATCTAACTACTTTAACATTTCTTTTTCTTCAACTGCAAAAAAAAAAATGTAACTCAGCTACCAGTGGAAGCCCTGTAGCCGTATTAGCATGCAAGTACTAGATGGTAGAACTACAGTATATGTAGTTATGCTTTAGTACTTTCATATTAATTCATACTGCTGTATGGATGGAATTCTAAAGACTTTGGTTGCATCATCACCTCTTTGTACAGTTATTCATTTGCCACAAGTGTAATTCTGTGGAAAACAATAGGCACTGATTGGAAGGTCTGCTTTGTGCATGACAAAGGCTTTGCAAAATAGCAACTTATTACAAAAAACACAAATAAAACAGTTACTAATGACCTATAGAAGCAGTGGGGGTCATATCTATGAACTGCATTCTATACATACGATGTACATTTACAAGATTAATTAATGACTTGGGAAAATGATTGTCTCGAGGATAAATGAAACGCATGTTTAATACAATACTTTGTAAAATAAAACAATTACTAGTGACCTAATTAGAAACAGTGGAGGTCATATCCGTGACCTACTTTCTATACATACATGTACAAGATTAATTAATGACTGGGGAAAATTTATTCATGCACCATCTAGGCATGCATCTGACGTTAATAGCTATTGCTCCTTTTTACATTTTCTGAGAGCAAGACAATACGCAATGGGGCGGAACCAAACTGATGCCCTGTTCACACGCTAACATGAAACTCGTATAAAGAAACGTTGTATACATTATACATGTACAGCAAATGGGATATAAAGACCAGGGGGTGTTTCATAAAGCTGTTCCTAAAGTTACTCATGACTTTACGAACGACTTGTATATGAAAAGCCAAATGGGATGCTCAATCATTATTGATTATTATTTATTAAGTTGAACTATGCAGATGTAGATTAACATTCTTATTATAACAACCATTCTTAATGCAAAGTATATTTTTTGCCATAATTCAATTGAGGTTATTGGAAATTTCAGAAAAAAATTTGGGCATCCTATCTGGCACTTCATATACAAGTCATTCGTAAAGCCATGCGTAACTTTACGAACAGCTTTATGAAACACCCCCCAGATATATAACATTGTGTACAGGAACGTACACTAGTCTTAAAGAGGTCAATTGACATGACTGCTGGCCAATCATCAGAGAGAGCTCACAAGAAACCCGCCCAGTTTTACCGCACAAAAAGACGTTATGACTAAAACAAGAGCCTGATTCTTTACTGAGTTTTTGTTTGAAACAAAAGCAAAAATATACAGTAGGCTTGCGGGTGCACCATGTACACTCCTGACGACGGATAGTCAACCTGTTCGAAACGTCAAGCCACTCATCCTCTCCAAGCGCTATAGTTCTCCTTAGAACTATAAGCTAAGAAAGATAACAAACAGTCCTTTTCAGGACTACACACCCCCAAGACAGATTACCGAGTCAGAGTCCTTTTCAAGACTCCTCAATCTCTCTCTCTCTCTCTCTCTCTCTCTCTCTCTCTCTCTCTCACATGGTGCACCTGCAAGCCTACTGTATATCTACATCACCATGCAAGCCAACACTTACAAGCAGCATTTAAAAGCAAACATGCTATAAAACGTTTTATTATATGTTTTTCTTTATATGATACCGGTATTCAGACTAGAAAAAAAGGTAAGGTCCCCGTAATTGCAGTAGTCTGAATGCGGGGGTGAATCTACATGGTTGGACAACTAGGTTAGGATCAATCAGGATACAATTATGTGGAAGGTTAGTCTGACATTTCAGACTGCATACACAAAAGGATTGCCAAACAGCATATATGACAAGTCAGTCATTCATGATAAATAAGAATCTGTAAATATAAGTAAAAAATTATAGAATAGCAACTAAATGAAACATAGTACAATCATGAAGTAGGAATAAAAATGATCTTAAAGTGAAAAGGGTAGGACTAGAAATAGCAACAGTCAACAAATTAGAAGTAGAAGAAGTAGAAGTAGAAGCAAAAAGTGGAAGTACCAGAAGAAGAAAAGGTAGAAGTAACATTTATCAACTTGAAAATATTAGAAGCGGAAATAGTACAAGGGAAAAGGTGGAAATAGTAGAAGTGAAAAAGTGGAAATAGAAATAGAAACAGTTACAACAAACAAAATGATTGTTAGAAGTAGAAACAGAAAAAGTGGAAATAGTACAAGTAGATAGAGAACAATTAGAAACAGCAAATTGGAAAATACTAGAAACTGAAACTAGTAGAAGTGAAAATAGTATAGGATATATATAACGTTATATTAGAAGTTGAAATAAAGAAACTAGAAAGAGTAGAAGTAGATAGTTGAGTGAAAGGGTGCATGCACATTACTTTGAGTGAGTGGAAATAGAAGAAGTATAGAAAGATGAAGAGATAGTGAAAGGGGAAAGAAGAAACTGTTACCAGATTTATACATAATGCACAAAAAGAATAGCAAATATGATGTAAAACTTGCATCAAACTTATTAAGCTGTAAAAGTGTTAGAAGCATACTGGTTATGTCGTTTATAGACCTGTTGCATTGCAGACGATCCATTCTTTTTCTGACCTACGACAGTAAATTACATACTGCCTGCATACAAAGACTACAGAAGGAGCATTGAGGCTATTCAACCAATGAATCATCTTAATTGGGCTGTTCTAGTCTGCCATTTCAGACTATAAATCACTATGATGTATTACAACTGCCATAGGTCACATACTGATAAGGTATTGCTGTGTATTTAGAAACTCTTGCCTTGGTTTAAAGGCCTCTACATTAAAGAACTTTACACTGAAGTTTCATTGAAATTACAGATAAAATGACCAGGGTTTCAAAACTGTCTTTACACGTTTCTTTAAATACCTTTTCAACCACCTCTTTTTCATTTGTTTGAGACAAGATGTGCATATATTACATCTTATCGTTTACACAGCGTTACCTCCCTTCTGGCTTCCAACAGACATTGCAATACTCAGACCATGCATGAAACTTACATTTCGACCTTTAACCTCTGACCTACCTGATTGCTGATGCAGCAAATACTTGACCTTCTGATCCAAAGCACATTACGGCAGTAGAAGATATGACTACAATAAGATCTAAAAAGGGAAAATAAATACAGAACAGAATTAATGCAAAATCAATTATGTGCTTTTAATAGGTACATGTATCATTTAACCCACTTCATTAAATAAAATAATTATACAAAAAAAAAAAAAAATCAAATTCCAATACAAAACAAGGGAAGCAAGAATACCCTTGCAATTTAACAAAATAAAAGAAGGAGTGAACGAATGTAATCCCTCTGTTGACAGCCAGAAGAATATTAAACTCTGTACTTTTACTCAGAGTTAAAATCCTTTTTTGCTCTAAACAGACAATACCTCTTTAAAGATAAAGTTGAGTTCTGGTTATGCGATTGCATTGTGAAAGAAACATTGTGGAATCGATCAGAAAGGATTGAGCATGTAGCATATAGGTGTGTACTGCAAGGCTCTGGAGTCATCAAAATTATTTATACCTCTCCCTAGAACTCAACCTTCTCTTTAAGGTTTAAAAACTTGGGACATTAATTTCAAAAGTTAATTAGAAAAGTTATGATTCTGTGAGACAAGAGAAATCCCCCTCTCCACTTCTGTTTTCCCTCTCCTTGGTTTACTATTATCACTCTCTACCTATCTCTTTGATATCACATGGTTCTTTCCATGATGTGTCTTGTTTATACTATATTGCATTATACTTTATTGTACATTATATGTTTATAATATTATTGATAACATGCCATTGTACAGGTATATTGTATTACTTCTTTGTCAATGGACACTTTCAGCCTGCGTTGCTGTTAATTTTTTATACGACGATACCCCAAAAAATATTGAAAAAAATAGAATCTAACCTCTCTAGATAAAAACAATCCACCAAATATCTGTACTGTTTAAAAGTGTGAGCTTCATTGACTAAGAAATTCTACCTTTCTTCTACTATAATGACTGGCTTATGCGTTGCAATGTTTATTCATATTATAGTGTGTATATCTTCCTCTTCAACATTTATCAAAATTGTACAACTGAAAATGTCTCTTGGAAGCTGGGTTACAAAAAGAAATGTGGTGACAGAAGAGAGTAAATACAAACATGATTTATCTGTTAGGAGCAAGAAGGGGATTAATTGATGAAAAAACACAGAACAGAATTAATTTGGACTCTCCCGCTAACTCTCTTTGGTTCCAGTCCTTACGCTTGTAAATGTAAATATAAATGGAATTTTTTAAATGCATTTTCTCCACCTTCTCCCCCCCCCCCCTTCTTTCTCTCTATCTCTCTCTCTCTCTCTCTCTCTCTCTCTCTCTTTCTCTGTCTCTCTGTCTGTCTCTCTCTCTCTCTCTCTCTCTATCTCACTTTCTTTATGTTGCATTATTCTAGTTGTAAAGTGCCCCATTCAGCCTGTGCTGCTGGTCAGTTCTTATAGACCAACAGACAAATACATAAATTAAACAAATTGGACAAGACAAATCGAGCTAGAAATCACGATCACAGGTTACGGAGACACATAAATTATGAAAGACATTCCAAAGTTGATCATTAACCTATTTGCTAATCACACCACTATCAGTCACATCAACAGTACCACCGTTATCCCTGGCAATACTTTGACAGTAGAGCTAGAGCATGAATCGTGGTAAAAGATGAAGGAGAAAAGAAGAGAAAGACCCTTTTTTTGGGGGGGGGGGGGGGGGGGACACTTGCATTGTTGAGCTACAGCATCAATAGCATAACTATTTGTGGGAGCAGGGGATACCCCCCCCCCTCCCTTGGAAAACATGAGTAGTAAACAAATGTGAAGGAGAGAAAGAAAGGAAGAGGGGAAGGCAACAAGAAAAGAAGATGATAACAAATACAACCGACACAGATTATCTTCTCCAAACAACTGATCACAACATAACTTTTTCCAGTTGATTCTTCCATAGTTGAGCTACAGCAACAGTGGGGTAGCTATTGGTCAGAGCAAAAGACACCCCCCCCCCCCAACAACAACAAAAAAAGGTTGGTGAGTAAAAGACAAAGGAGAGAAAGAGAAGAGAGGGGGTAAAAAAAAACATGAAAAGAAGGTTATGAAAGCCACAATTCACATATTTAAAGGGGAAGTCCACCCTGAAATTAAGTTAGTTTTAATAGGAGTAGAAAAATGAGAGAAACAAGTCAGTGAAAGTTTGAGCAAATTCCGATTAAAAATAAGGAAGTTAGGATTTTTGAAGTTGTGATCAATCAATCACAAATTGGCAACTCTATGACGTATCATGCGAGCTCAACTTCCATTTGCTCAGTACTAAAAAAATCTAAAATTTTCATTTTCCCTCAAGAAAAATTTCAACCATACATGCACCCTAAATATAATAATTGCAAATATGTTTCTATACTCCCCCTGCAAGGAACAAATTTATATTCCGTCATCAATAACGAAGAAAACATGATTTTATGGAATATTATGCACAAAGCAAATGAAGGAGAGCTCGTATAATAAGTCACAGAGTTGCCAATTTGTATTTGATTGATCACAACTTCAATAATTCATAACTTTCTTATTTTCATTCAGAATTTGCTCAAACTTTCACTCACCTGATTTTCTTATTATTCTGCCTCTATCGAAACAAACTTATTTTGGGGGTGGACTTTCCCTTTAAATAACTAATCACAAGACATCTTTTTGCTATTGATTATTCCATAGTTGAGCTAAGGCATCAGTGGGTAAGTAATAGTTAGGTGGGGCACAGGGCATTCCCCCTTCAAAAAGAAAGAAAAAAGAATGACTTATAAAAATGAACAAAAATTACGAAAGAATAGGGAAAGGGGAACAAAGTGGGAAAAGAAGATGATAGTGCCCAAACCCTCATAATCCTTCTCTCTATTGCCTCACTTATTTCTTCTCTCACATGTTAGGTGCCTATTACAGGCATGTTCACATAGGCCCCATTAAACCACTGTGAGTACATGTAGGACCACTCTTGTGCACAACTACTGTTGTCATTCCCACTTCCTATTCAGTACAAACACAAACACACAAACACACAACGCAATGGATTACCATGGTCAATGTGAACGAGCCTCTCCCCCAAAAACATGAAAGTGTGAAGGGAGGAGCCTTCCATTTATTATGGAGAAAACAAGAAAAGGCACGAGTTCCTACACCCTTCTTCCAGCCCTAATTACACAGTCCAGTAATTGATGAGCTCTACTTTCAATTAAGGCTTTCCCCACGAATCCTGATTATTGAACCCTCTTTTCTCGTCTGCCTTCTTCCTTTCTTTTCCATGAGACAGGTGAGTTCTCGTGAGGAGGACAAAAACTTGTCAACTTTCTCCCTCTTTGTATGTTAGTTTGAAAGGAACCACAAAAGATATGTCCGCTGAAACTAACTGCCCTTAAAATGCCTTCACATTTGAATACTATTGCAAGAACTAGCTGAATTTTGGTCTTTTTTTTAACGGAAATCCTAAATTATGAAGTACTCTGTACAGTGCATGTGATGTAAAGCAAGACAGAGTGAAATTCTTTCAATTTTCATTCCAAGACATCACAGTATGCATAATGGTCTTATGTACTCAATTATCAACCCTTCTGAATTGCTTCCATGCAGTGTCTGTAATTGACCAGTACTCAACTTTATCTTTAATGAGCCTTTCCTCCATTTCAAGCATAACCTTTCACAGCCTCCAATTCCACCATTTCTCCCCTTGCTCTTCAAATGAGAGCGCAAGATGACAGTTCCCCGCTTTGCCGGCCGAGCATATATACACACGACACGGAAAGATAATCAAGCCAATGCCTCGCTTAACTAGCCATGCAGAGAAAGTAATCAGCACACTTTACGATCCACCCATCATTTCTTTTTTGCACAAATAGGAAATAAGTTGGATAGAGGGTGAGAGAAATATAGAAAAACATAAAGACAGTGAAAGAAGAGAGAAGATTTTAAGAGAGATAAAGAGATAGATAAGTATATTGATAAAGAGAGAGAAATAGAGACAGGGAAATTGAGATAGAGAGAGAGAGAGAGAGAGAGCACGAGAGAGGGGGTAAAGATGAGAGAGGGAGAGAGAGAGAGAGAGAGAGAGAGAGAAGGGGTACCAAAATATGAACAGCTCCTAATTGCATATGAGTAGGTATATATATATATATATATATATATAATAAGCAAATATTTCCCATGTACATTAAATGTAGCACCTATTTGCTTAGCAAGTATATTGACGGGTGCTACCACCATCATATCTCAGTCACTCTACCAAACCGACTCAAGACCAAATCCAAACCACTTTTTCCACTGGGAGCAATGTATTTGATGCTTACTCTGTTGTAGGTCTTGCTGGTGAGACCGAGGTCCAACATTAATAAGTTTCTAAATTAACATAGCAACTTAAATTTAGTTTCCTTTCTAAAATTGTTTCTAGACAGTTTCTGTTTCAATGCAACTGCATGACCTTTACTAACTTACATTCTTAAACCTTTCCTGATGTTGGTAAATATCTCATCCCAGAAGATAGCTAGTGGTAGACAACTTTGGTCTAGAAAACATCTTTGTATTCCTTGCTTAAAAAGTAAAGGGTGAATACACAACAAGAGCGCAACTATTTAAAAAAAAAATTAAGAGCAATACCCAATTGTATGTAGCATAGAAATCATGTTCGGCTTATATAATACATCTATGTGATGTGGGTGCATTTCACACAGGGCTGGTTTGCCTTAGGTTGGTTTTTCAAATGTAGTTGCTATCGTGTAACATACAACATTGTGAATGTTTGTCACATGGAAGGTACTGATAGCAACGTGTAACATACAACATTGTGAATGTTTGTCACATGGAAGGTACTGATAGCAACGTGTAACATACAACATTGTGAATGTTTGTCACATGGAAGGTACTGATAGCATCGTGTAACATACAACATTGTGAATGTTTGTCACATGGAAGGTACTGATAGCAACGTGTAACATACAACATTGTGAATGTTTGTCACATGGAAGGTACTGATAGCAACGTGTAACATACAACATTGTGAATGTTTGTCACATGGAAGGTCCTGATAGCAACGTGTAACATA